CCTGACTCGACACGAAGGCGAAGCTGCCACGTCGAGACGAATAACAAGCATGGACCATCGACTCGGATCATCGGCTGCATTAACTCTTACATATGCTCGCCTAGTGGAGTATTTGGTTTAATTTCAAGCCTACAGACTAGATGTTTATTTGCACGGACACAAAGTGATCTGTATATCCGTCTTGCCAACACATTATTTAACACACACTTTACAAGATACTCGACAAACCGTACCCGAACACATCCAATTACCATCTCTACTGTCAGGCAAATTGCGCAAATACGTTTTTCGCATGCGCGGTCACACAAGGGCTTACGATCCAGTTTATGTCTGAAAGCATTTGATGGCGCATCCTTCTCCCTAAACGGCCCTTTTTAAGCAACGTTTGATAGCTGTACTGATTTTGTTGCAAATAAAAAACCGGGCCAACTGAGAACTCAATTTCATCAGGGTTATTTCCAAAGATCCTGGGATTTTCAATGGACTTCGGAAGCGTGGTTTTTCCTCTAAACATAACCCGATTGTCTACCGTTTTGTGGCCATTGGGAATAGCTAATTTTGCAGTTTCAGGAAACCTGAAAAGCGTTGTATTTTGCCTCAATAAAATAATGGAAAAAAAGCTGACCTTGTCAGCGTTGATCTATCGCTGAGGATTGTGTTATGCATTCGACTTCATTAGGCATCGCTGAAGCTAAACGAATGTATATCTGGCCTTTACAAAGACTCGCGATTGCCTACCGATGTGTTGAATCAGGCTGTTATCTTCTTAGACAAGTCTGGTACCAATTTACTGAACCGGATTAATGAATGGCCTGAAAGTTAGGGTCCATTACGTCACAAGGTGAAATTTACAAAAGGAAGTGCTGAGATAGAAAGTAGACGACTTTCTTCAGCAGAGTTACCGATCCCATTTTGCTGATGAGCGAACGTCATGAGAGCCCGAACTGGTGAAAGTAGAATTATCGCGCAAGCTGTTTTAACTGGCAACTTGCTAAAATCTGCAAAAAATATAACCTATATTCTCTATAATGCTTGTTTATTGTTTACTGTACACATTTTTATTAGATTTGGTGATTCTGGAACAAATTATTTTTCTGTGTCTTTCTCTTTTTCCTATGAAGACACACAATATTCATCATTATAAAACGAAAAACCTTTTTGATGACTATCTGGTGCCGCTTCTATTCAGAGACTATAACTTCGATGGCACACATCCTAGGAAATGCCTTCGTCATTGATATATATATATATATATATATATATATATATATGGCTAGAAATTCAGGACTTCTACATACTTAAAATTCTCACTGTCCGCAATAGTACAGGTGGTTCGTGGTGGAACTAGTGCGATCTGGAACAGCCATCTATGTCGGGGTACAGGCGCTTGAAACGCTCTGATTAGGGAACGCAAGCGGCCAGTGATTACGGCTTTGAAAACGTTGACTGCTCTGTGAATGCTCTCTTCGTTTTAAATAATTTTGACTGCTATTGATTCGATTCCACTTGATGCTCGTTTAACTATGGCTAAGCCATAACATTCGGAGATATGTGAAAATCCTGACGAAACAGTTACCTGGATTATGACTGTGTGTAATCGGGTTCACTTATTTTCATGGCCTGGAGAATATGCAGTTATCGATGCGCGCCGATATCATGGTGAAATAATGTTTGTACCACTTCGTAGGACAGTGTCTTGTACATTATGTTTGTTCTGTTCTCGATGTCACAGTAGTATAGTGGCATATGATTGTTAATGAACATATGATTGTTAATGAACATATTTCAATCGCAGTAACTAGGAGTTTTCGCTCCATTGTCACTTGCTCCAGGTTTGTTCAGTGTTGTAAAAAGAAGGTAAATAATTAGCGAACAATTTTTAAAAAGTACTTAAGTTTCATGGCCAATGAACTCCACATTTAGCTGTTCTGCCGTGTTCTGCGTAATCCAATGTTTTCTTAGGCTCAACCACTTGCACGCCGTTATTATGGAACAGTAGAAGAGTCGCCTCTATTTATGAAGATTTTAGTACAGATTCCTCTTCTGCATTTCTGGCAGCGATGATGGTACTAGCACCGGCAAAAACTAGTGCAAATGTTTGTGCAGTAAGAGTGAGGAAAGCTTATATGATCTTCTCGAAAGACCGACTTTCTATAAACCTCGGCATAGATAGTTGATACATTTATTTATGTGATCCTATAAACTGATCTTCTTAAACTGACGCGAGGTTGGTACAGATCTTCTTTGTCGTTGTTTTTGATGTTATTGATCGATGGCTGACGTTTCGGCGACTTCGCCATCCTCATAGTTTGGACGTATTTTATATTAGAATATTTTTATTATTCGGTGGAAAAAAAGGTTAAAGTTTTAATGAAGATCAAACTTTCAAATAGACGCCATATTGAACAGAAAGGCCACTCACCGTGATGTTACGTGCGGGACTGGCCCACGCGTTGTTTTCGTGGAGTCGTGAGCAAGACACACCCCGTGGTCAAAATATCATTTTGAAATAGGGCGCTAGGTCACGCGTGATAGTGAGGCATTCGCCTTTCCCGTTCATCTTTGGATTTTTGAAATTTATCCAAAACGCCTCAAGAGTTTTGCGCGTTGATGTTTTTGATTCCTGCGCTAGGATCCGCACATCCTCGCGTCAGCTTAAGAAGATCAGTTTATAAGATCACATAAATAATTATATGATCTTCATTTTTCAATAAGTGATGAACAGCAATTAACTCTTGTTTTCTTGTATGAAGTCAGTGGGTATGTACTTAATCAGCATCTAGGGGAATTAAGGAACGACATCGTTGTGTTTTACATAAATCCTGCTGGGCACATAAAAAACATTGGTGAAGCTCAACCTCTTGAGCGAGCAGGATTTTGACGAGGATTTTGCCGCACCTAGCACATCCAAATCGTGCCCAGGGCATTGAAGTTTGAGGGAAGTGTTAACTGTCTTTTGTCTTGACTTTATTTGACTATTAAAAAGCGTTTGACAGTGTCGAAAAAAATGAAATACCATAAGCTCTCATCGTCCAGGGAGTTTACCCTCCTACACAAGAAATTTAGTCACTGTTATCGGAACTGAGCTGCGAAGATGCAGACTTTCCACCGACCTCTTGCTATTTCCATAGAAAAAGTGGTTCAACTAGAGGACACCATATCGTCAAAGCTGTGTGATGCAGCACTGCAGTGGACGATGAAATCACTCGATTGGGATGATAAAGGCATACGCATTGATGGAAAATTCCGATCAAATCTCATTTTTGCCGATGACATTTCCATCTTCACAAAAAGTATCAACGAAGCAAAGACGATGATCAGAGAGCATAGCCAGGTCAAACTTGATTTTCCTCTTTCCTTTCCTTGAATAAGAGTATTGAGGAAAGCACCTCGCACGTGTAGTACACACGTTCAATGAACATAGAGAATAGCATGAAGAATGATGTAGACAAAAGGAGAGCAGCTTGCTCTGCATTCGGACCTTTCAAAGAAACCACTGATCAAGTGAAGGACCCGAAAAACCTCGCTTACGTTTTTGATTTGATGGTCCTTCCCGCGCTTTGTTATGCGCTGCAGTGAGGTGAGCTGATAGTTCAAGCATGTCAAGAATAGTGGGCTCCTCGAGGATGCAGGCCTCCACCAGAACGATCAAACACACGTTGGGCCTACAATATGTCCATCTTTACAAAGTGATAATTCAGAGGAGAAATAGTCGTGTCATGTATTCGTGAAGCGTGAAGGAGCAAACTTCAGCGGCGCTGCGCTGTTAATGACATTCATCGCGAGCATGGTGCTGGTCATACCCCGCCCCGGGCTAGGCAACCAAGCCTCTCATTCTTCCGAAGTCGACGAGTTAATGCCAAATTTGTCCTAAAGCAGTTCGTTATTTGAAATCTATATGGAATGCTCCAGCAAAACTATTCGATGACTTTAGGGAGAAACGACCAGCTTTGAACGGCATTTATTAAGAACCAAGATCCTCCAAAATGCCGTTAAACCTAAACCCGGAGTTGTGGGAATGGTTGTGTTAACATATTTATGGTGCCGAAAACAACAATCAATTTTCACGCTGCAAAGGAAAAGTTCACCAGATGTTGTTCACTTATGATGTTCGGAAAAAGTACTGTTTACAGTGCTCCCTAATAATTTTGGTGTACACACGACTACTTCCATCAACGAAAGCTGTATGTTAAAAAGAGACATAGACACTCTTGTGTGACACTTTGAATGAAGCTTGTAGTTTTCAAGACCGAATTTCTACTAACCTTGTCATTAATAAACAATTCGCTATTCTTTTGAGATTTACATACGAGATCACTGTTGTTATGCTCAATATTCACAAAAGCTGACGCCTCGGCAGATTTGGCTCTCCAGATTCTAGAAAGGTAACGTTGACTGCAATCTAGTTGGCCATATACCTCCATAAGACAACAGATGAAGCATGACACCTAGGTCTTAACCGATTCGAAAACAAAGGAGCTACTTCACATACTCACTGCTCTCCACAAGTCTTTCACTAAGTATTCCACGATACTCATGAGATAAAACAATAATTCCAAAGAAAACAAGGTTACGTTTATCCTACCATTCATTTCCAACGAAAAAAGTGCATCTATGAAATTGCCTAAAAAGGGCGGGTTTAAAGAAATCAATAGCAGTGATTTAAATGCCGTCAAACACTCTAAGACGCCAGCTATTTCGTAGCCACTTATATGACTGTCTGTATAGAAAAAAAAGCATGAATTTCCTAACACTAAAGATGGCCATTTCACGAGATCGTATGCAGTGTATAAATTTCTTATAAGGCTTGTGAGACGAATACGTTGGCGAGACGGGTGGGCCACTCCGAGCCAGTATGAAAGAGCGCCTAGTTGGGGAAAATTTTTGCGTTGAACATTGATCTCAGCAAAGCGGCAGTCAATATTAATCTTCATAAAAATGATACGGAATTTGTTTATTTGTTATGTTAAAATTAATTTTATGTTTATTTCTTTAAGACGTCAATTGTACATGTTCTCATTGGAATGATATTCAAGATCATCAGTCTTAGCTGTAGTTTTCTCATCAGAAGTGTCTGGGTCTGGATAGCCGTAGTCGTCGTTGCTGTTGTCGTCGTCTGCGCTAGATGATGAATCGTCTTCACAACTTCCGAATATGTCTAATTTTTTGTCACTAGCAAAATATACATCGCCATCTATTACGATATTGTTATATTCATCGTAATCATCGATGCACCAGGGGCGAGAGAGAGCTATGGAAACAAATGCCAGCAGCAATACAAACTTCATCCTAAATAGATAAGTTTCGAATTGTGATTTGAAGGCTCTATAAAAATGAAAAACTCAGTCAGCATCCGCCGTTAGTTGCATTTATTGGATACACATTGTTACGTGGAATAACTCATTTATTCACTAAATGCCGATATATGTTATTTCTAACTATAAATTAACTCCTTTAAGTAATGTGGAAATCGCACACTGACGAGGCTTTTTGACCACTATTTAACCAGTAAGGTAGCGGATAGCATAATGATAGGATTTCTGTTTATTACCCGTGCGGTTCAGCCTATCTAGTCTCTGCTTCGACACTGGAATTCCAGGATGGCCAGGAACACGGCGAATTCTTTCAGTCTAGGTGACAACGCCCAGCGCGGCAGTCTCGGAATTCCACTGACCATCAACCGACCAGTCTTCAACTAACTTCGTGTCGTAGAAGGAAGAGTCTTCAATCAGCAGCCGAAGACGCAAAAAATAGTCCGAAGACCTTCGTTGGCGGTGGATGTAAGGAAATCGAATGCGAGAAATGCAGAGATCCGCCCAGTTATGACACATGTAATCTCTGCTATGTAAAAATACTATACCTTCAGGTTGACAGCGTTCAGGCCGATTTGTGCTCTCCTGAGCAATCCCATTGACAGGTGATTGCTGATAGCACTTATAAAACATGGCTGAGAGAAATGCGAAATTAAAAACCCGCATGGTGTAGTGGTGAGCTCGTTACCCCAGGAAAGGGTAATATTTTTCGGCCCCACCGCAGATACCTGATGACTGGAGTCTTGCAAATATCTCAGCATTGTTGTGATTATATTTCACATCATAGTTTCTCATGAATAACGGAGATGGTTAACGATAATAGACCTACATTAGTCCTTAGTTTCATTGTTGCTGTGGATGTTTCTTAGTGGGAAAAAAAGATATGCAGCAGGAAATTCATTCCCCAGCATGTTCAGCCAAGCAGAGAAGCAATTCCACATTCTAATTCAGGAGCACAGCAATGAAGCCAGCGCCTGAGGAAATTCTGGCAATTCCTTGAGCAAGTGGGCCTTAGTATGTTGGTATGGCTCACGATAAGCAAATTTGTTGGTGACCGCCAAAGTGTTGGATTGGAAAGTGGAAGGGGTTAATAACATAACTATGGAGAAGGTGAATGTTTTCTTTTAGCCTTGATGACGCCCTATTTCAGGGAATTTCATGAAATATAACGAAGTTTAGAACTACTAGTGGATTTTCTTATTCCTCGAATAGCAAGAAGTTTTAGTGCAACTGCTTATAACAGAGTTCTTTAAAGAGGTTAGGCTCCTTAGAGGTGTTTGCAATTGCTGATGATGGGTTTGTTTTAAAACCACAAAAGTTTCTTAAGCATTATATGAAATTCAGAGGCACAAGAGTCTACTGAGTGAAAAATGATTCTACTAAGAAATGGCATATTTAAGCTTTTTGTTGTTTGGATTTTGAACAGGTGCAACTCTGTTCCAAAATGATCACTATATCCCTCTGAATAAATATTAAACTGACTTAAGGGCAACGAAAAGTGGTGGGTGTATACAGTACACGGCTGCTAAAAACAACAGGAGTCACTTATTTGGTAATAAATACTGCTGTCATAACTGCGGCAATGAAATGGATTGACGAGCGACAGGGCGACTGAATAGCAGCATACGAGACCTCGAAGATTTTTTCTCGAAGTTCAGTCGGATTTTCACAGGACAATGTTTCCTTGAGAAAGACCGGAGATGACGCTATGATTTCGTCTTGATGATCCGATTAAAACAGGATGATTAAAAATCAAAATGTTATTAATGAAAGAAGATCAGAGAATGGCAAAGTCTTGCTGTAGCGTTTTCCTACTTTCTATTCATAGCGAACTGCACAGCATCGGTTATGCTGAAGTTCGTGAAGAGCTTCTTGACCACCATAGCGATAACCAAAATCTACTAAACTCCGCTTATCCACATATTACAACAAATCGCTTATGCTTTCCTTCAGCACTTTTGTTCAAACATTCTCCAACGAAACAGCCCAAGATGGCTTTTTCGTTAATGGCAGCGATATTTGTAGTCATGAAAGAGAATGATCAGCTTCATCATTGCTTGTACAGATTTATTCTTTCTAAAATCATTCTTCGTTTTCTTGATAAGCCGTTCAAGGTTATTTTTCTTCCAGTCAACAGACTACAATAATGAGGGTTCACTTTTTTCAAAAAATACCACTGAGATACTTTATTTCATGGTTCCAGTCATCTAAAGACTGCATTTTGCTTGCATAGCGTGCACAATCGATAGAAAACTCAGAGCTAGACGTTTCTGTACTTGTTGCAACAAAACGACTGATCTCCATGGAAAACAGCAAAATGACAGGTGTTTTAACAGTAATGAAAAGTTCGAACAGTCCATAGTTACACTCTATTGTTAATTGGGATGTTTTTATAGAGAAACGGTTTTTCTAAACATCCTCCTAATCATTACGTTTCATATAACAGTAGCGAAATTTAGATTACCTTTGCTTTTTTCCATTGGTGAAACATTTCATGAAATGAGCCGCCAAGTACTTTGATGTATTCATTTTCTCTTCAGTAAAGATAGATGAACTAATATGTCATAACCTCAGTGTCAAAAAGTAGTAAAGGCTTATGATCATAAACATCAGTGATATGTCATAACTGCAGGTAGACACAAGAATTTCGTGCTTGAAATCTCATTGTAAACAAGCCGAACGAATCTAGGTCTTATACGATCCAATCCGTTCTTTAGAACTATAAAAAGCAGGTGTATTCTAATACTCGTCATAAACGTTTCGCGGTTTAAGAAAGTATTAATTTTCTTCGTGTTAAGTTGCCGTCATAAAGTTCCACCAGAGCGTTATCGGTGGAAGAAACTTATAATCTGTTTTTGTTTACACCTGCTAAAAGATGCAACTAAAGACTTAATAGCTTTAATTCCAACAATAGATCCAGCACAGCTAAGAGTTTAAGGTAAAGCGAGAAATATAAAAAAATCACCTTGTTCACGACGACATGACCAAAATTTACTCACACATTTCTTAGGTACTTACTTGACACTTGGCACTTGAACGGCTCGTCCCCACTGGTTGTGCAGTCCCCGACATAATTTCCATTTTTCGGAGATTTGCTAGCTAAGCCATTGTGGTTCTCTGAAATCCCGAGATCAACCTGACCAAAGTCTGCTTCAGTTCTTCACCACCACAGGCAGTTGCAGCTCTTGTGGATCAGAGAGAGATTTGCCACCATGCGGCTTTTATACCAGGGCGATGGTGGTTCCTGGTACTGGTTTACTCTTAGCTAGGCTTCCTGATGAAAACGTCGGAATCCTTCTCAGCTTGGGAGACCTTACCACGGAGACAGGAACACACCCCAGCCACAATGAGGCGGTAAACCGTTGGGAGGAGTTTTTTCAGGTAGTGTCCGGAAACAAGATACATGAGAAAACTCAAAAGACCGACTTTCTATAAACCTCGGCAAAGATAGTTGATATAGTAGATTGATAGTTGATATAGTATAGTGGATAGCCGAGTAGATTGCTATCAACTTGACCTTTCCAGGCTCTGAGGAAGGCGAAATCCGGAGAAACGTCAGCTTAATCGTGAACAAAGAATAACAACACCTCGCGCTTGCTCAACAAAAATACGAAGAAAATCACTTGATCAATGCCGAGGTTAATAGAAAGTCGGTCGTGGCAGTTACTGCAAGATGTACCAGCAAGATACTTCCGACTTGTAAAAGAAGCGCTGTCACTGAGACAAAAGATCGTCTTAGCACGACAGTCAATACACTTTCTCCGCCGCTGTCTAAAACATCAAGTCGTTCCGAACTTCATCAAACGAAGACGACTACACGACGTATGCGGTCTACCAGAGGACAGTCGCCGAGTATTGGACGTCGAATTGCGAATACTACGCACCTGTCTACGAAGCCGGCAAAACCAGATGTTCGCCAAGTGGAAGGAGTGCGAGACGAAGGAAAACTTTTGTGCTCAATATTTGGAGGACCTCTTCTGGAGGAGAATAGTGGGCGGGTCAGTGTTGATTTGCGACTCTATTAGGTCTAATGCTAAAGTAGCTTTGCGAAGAAAATTCGAAGACCTTTTGAGTAAATCACATAACACAGCTTCAATAGCGCACAAAAATATCGCTAAAGAACATCAAACAGATCACATTAGGATAGGTAATGTGCAAGAAAATTGAAGGCTACCCGTGTTAGGAGGCATAACTCTCCCTGACGGTGCGCGCTCGTTATTAGAATTGGGGCCGAGTTTCTCACCATCTGAACCCATTTCTAAGATAACCATGCGTAGGGTCGCATGTGGTTTACATGAACATCAAGATAGAGTCCGCAAAAGAGCTAGAGATGAAGCGCTAAATAGGTGCCGACAAAATCAAGTGGGGGCCCTACCAATAGCACCTTTTCCCCCGACGTTCTTTAGACAACAAGAGCCCAATAATGAAGTTGATGTTAAATTTCGGATGTTTGCGAATAAAACTCTCAAAGTCCTTAATCACTACTGCGCTAAAAGAAACAGCTCAAACCTCACTCAAGTGCAAAAACGTGGTATGCGAGAGGTATGAGAGCTGATAAGGTTGAAAACCATAAGACTTTCCGTTAGTGATAAGGGTGGAGAGTTTGTCGTTATTCCTCATCAGTTAGATGTGGAGATAACGAAAATGCATATTGACGATGCTTCGCTTTATCGCCCATCATCTGAGGAGGAATTCAAAAGTAAATACCGAAAACTAAACCACGAATGGGCCAAAATGCCAAGGGCTGCTGGTTTAAAACCATCAGTTGTCTCTAGACTTAAAGTTGACTTACCAACATGCCCCGTCTTGTACTTACTTATAAAAACTCATAAGTTAGTATCCAGCGATGATCTTGCGTCTAACGACCCATTACTATTTAAGGTTAGACCTATCATTAGCTGTGTAGACGGGCCAACGGACAGGATAACATGGTTTTTAACCCTAATATTTAACCAGTTGTTGAAACACATTCCAAC